CCAGCCGTCCCTGAACTGCCCAGCCAGGAATCCTGCTCAGGACCCATGAGGTCCTCCCGTGCCCCAGGGAGGAGGGCACAGAGCCACCCAGTCTCCGTGCGGGCCCAGGGGAAGGAACGGGCCTGCCCTGGTAGCACACGTGCTGTCCTCCTAGTGGGTGAGAGGGGCAGAGGAGCAGGGAGGGTCCCCAGGGTGCAGCCTGCCTCAGGGGAGGTCCTGTCCCGGGGACAGGCCTTGGAACATAAAGTCCCCTCCTGGCGACACCCCGGGAGGCAGGCAGAAGGAAGGAGGCCCGGGTAGCCCCCGGAGATGCAGCGTTTCCACTGGTCTCGTTTACATAAGTGTCCTTGGCAATTTGTCCCAATTTGTCTCATTACAAATGATGTAAACATCCGGCATAATCACAGGCAAAATGGGGCAGTTTAAACGCTGCCTGATTGAAACCCGGTTGGCGCAGGGACTCATGCGCATGCCACCGGCTCCCAGCGGGGCCTTGGTGCCAGCGCTCCAGAGCTCAGGGGACCCTGGGGTCTGGACGGTGGCCCGGGTGCTGCCTCACTCCAGGGAGCCTCCAGAGGCACCGTCCTGTCTACAGGGTTCAGAAGACAGAGGAGGAGGCAGGCGGGCGGCAGGTGGCTTCTCCGTCCCATGCCCCTGGTGAGGGCAATGCAGCGAGGGGACTGGGGACCCAGACTCTGACCCTTGTCGTGCGTGATCTGTGCCACCTCAGGCCAGCAGCCTCTGGCTAAGCGTCGACTTCCTGCTCCATCTAACGGAGGTGACCATTTGGCATCTGGCCTGCCTGGCATGGCACTGAGATGTCATGTGACCCTGGCCTCGAGAGGCCAGAGGCCCTGTCCTGTCTGTCCTTGATCCTCAGAGCTGACAGTGGGTGCTCGGGGGTCTGGAGGCCCCGGGGATGGGTTCCAGGGTGACCAGGCACGTGGTTCTGCTGAGCAGGGCACCCATCTGAAGCCCCTCCATAGGCGAGGGACCTCGTCACTCTACCTCCACCCTCGGACACCCAGGAAGTGCCGCCTGCCCGTCACAGCCTGTCGCAGTGCCCCAGCCACAGGCGGCACAGGCAGGCACGGGCATCCGACCGACTCCACTGTGACCTGGCTGCTGTCTTCAGCCTGCGTGATGGGGCAGGGCTTCTCCCCTCGTTCCTCAGGAGAGCCAGCCCTGCCCCAGAGCGCAGGCACCGGCGGGAAGAGCAAGGGCTCCAAGGTTCACCCAGAGCCTGCAGGTGGGAGGCCGGAGGAAGATCTGGGGGTCAGAGTGAGCCTCCGGGGGGCCAGGAGCTCAAAGTCAGACGGGGTCCAGGTGACTTAGCCAAGGTGATTCTTACCTGAGGACAGGGCTGCAGGGACACGGCAGCCTGGGACTTCTCGCCCTTAGTTGCTGTGTGATCCTAACAAACCTCCCCTGTCTAATGAGAGTGGGTGGCGCCGCAGCCCTGGGGAAACTGGCAAACCATGGGTGAGTCTGCCCGTCCACGCCATGCTCCATCCACACTGCATTCCCTTTGGGTTAGAAATCTCCCGCCCTCCATGCCCAGGTCCTCACATCACAGTGTCAACGGAGAGCAGAGGAGGGGTCTGGAGAGGGACAGCTGGGGGCCACAGAGCCAGAAAGGCCTCCGCAGGTGGGAAGAGCGACAGCCCCCGAGGTCTGCGCCCGAGCCCCACAGACTCAGGTCACCAGCTGGGACTGCAGTCACTTGTCTCAAAAATGGAAATAAACATTCCCGCCATGAACACAGGGTTGGCTCATAGTGCACAAAAGTGCCACTTCCCTGTCCCCGGAGCCCGGCAGGTGTGGGGAGTCTCCTGAGAGTGGCACCGCCCTTCCCTGTCCTAGGGCAGTTGGGACAGGCGTCCTGTGCAGCCCCACAACGGCTCTGGTGGGCTCCCCCAGAGCCCAGCCCACGGGGTGCCGCGGACTTACTCGCCTACAGAAAGGGCACGTGACCTAAGTTGATCCAGTGGGATTTGAGCTCAGAAATCTCTTTTGTCAGTTGGAGAAAGAGAAATGTTCTCTCCCTCTGGAAGAAGTTTGAGGCAACTATCACCACCATTTTGCTGAGCCTTCCTCTTCTGTGAAGGAATCAGCCCTGAGAACTGAGTTAGCTTGGAGGGGGACCAAGTGTCACAGAAAATGATCCCAAAGTCCTAATCCAACTGAGCCTGAAGCCCACGTAGAATCTGGAGTTTTACATTTCCGGAGAAACAAAATAAGGAATGCTAAGTAATGCTAACCTTCCCAAGTATTTTACCCTCCTGATGGTCGAAATTGCCATGAACCAATTTAGATATGCAAATGCACTTGCAGGAATTGGGTCCCCAGGGACTGGCTCCTGCCCTCTTCCGTAATTCAGAACTCCCAGGCGTCCTCTAACTGACCACCTGCACACATGCTTCCCCGATCCTCCCACTCCCCGCTTCACCAAGGGAAACTGCTAGAGGACAGAGGTGTCCACCTGCTGGTCACTCTGGGAGGCGGCAAGGAGGACACCCACTGCAGAGGCAGCGGCCACAGGTCGGAATCTTGCTCTATTTCTCCAGTGTCCAAAGCCACATCCCCTTTCTAAGCCTTCATCTTCCCATCTGGAAATGGGATCATGGCGCTCACCTGGCTGGGCCCTGGGAAGGTTCCGGATGTAAGGTGCAGGAGTTGCTGGCCAAGAACCCGAGGGCCCTGTGCTCGTGGGAGCTCTCACTCAGGCTTTGACCCTGGCCACGTCCTTCCTGCCTTCTAGGGCGTGGGTCCCCTGGACCACAGGAGGTGCAAGATCTCATGGTGGAATAGATACAGAGAGATAAGAAATGGCATCGCCAATGTCACCACAGAGCACGGCTTGGGGGCTCTGGGGCTGTGGCCTTGCCTCCTCAAGGTCAATCAGCAGTGCCCGTATTTGTGTCAGTTTTCAGAGCCATCAGTGGGCACAGCACCAGGCTCAGAAACGAAGGGAGGAGAGAAAGGGAAAGAGGAAGAAGCCAAAACGCCCAGCGCAAGCTCTCACAAACCAGGGCCTGGCTTTGGAATCCACTAGTCCTGAGATGAAATCCCAGTTCCCCTGCTGAGCAGCTGTGTGACCTGCCTCCAGCCACTGAACCTCTCTGAGCCTGTTTTCTTGTCTGGAAAAGAGATGAGATGGATGATGCTTCCATGGGTTGCTGGGGCGTATAGAAAGTGGGGGGAGCGCTTTGCACAGTCCCTGGAGAAAAGTGTGTCTTCAGTGAAAATTCCCTCCATGGTGATAAAGTGTCCCCCCTATTCACGTCCACTCGGAACCTAGAAATGTGACCCTATCTGGAAACAGGGTCCTTGCAGATTTAACTAAAGATCTGAAGACAAAGTCTGACTGAGTCCTGTGGCCGTGTCCTTATGAGAGGGCACAGAGCAACCCAGAGAGGAGGTCGCAGACTGAGGCTGAGGTTCTAGAGATTCAGCCACGGACCAAGGGACCCTGGGGCCACTGGAAGCCAGGAGGAGCAGGAGGGAGCCTTCCCTGGAGGCTCAGAGGAGCGCGGGCAGACTCCTGGCCTCCATCTGTGGGGAGCTGGGAGGTGGGGCCACAGGGATGGGACCTGGGCTTTAAGTGTGCCACACCCCAGGCCTTCATTTCTGTTGTTTTAGGCCAAACTTGTGGTCCTCCATCTCAGCAGCCCCGGGAAACCCTCTCCTCAAACAGAGCGGGTGTGGTTCCAGGTGGAGACCTGGGGAGTTCCAAGATGGCGCAGGGCCTGTCTGGGCCTGGGCTCCGCAAGGCTCCTCCAGATGGAGGGCAAGTGCCGCCCTCTGCTGGCAGCTTAAGGACTCACCGGAGCAAGGTGCCCCTGCCCTGTGGTCGTAGGAGCCCAGGAAAAGGGTCTGCTCCAGACCCAGGAGGACTCCGCTGGGGGCTGGGGGCTGGGGGCTGGGGACTGTGGGCCTCCGCCCCCCACCCAGAACCATTCCCAGCAGGACTCAGGGACACCTGTGTCCCAGAGCTGAGGCCAGTCCTGTCCTTTTCCAAGAGACCGACTCCCTGACGCTCCTTGCCTCCTGCCTCCATGGTGGAATCTCTGGGAAACAGGGCCTCACACGCTGGCCTGGCCACCCATCCCCTGGTCCACCTTGCAGCCCTGGTCCACCTGGGATTGCTGGCCAGCTTTATGCAGGACAAACTCAACCCTCAGATTCCAAATTGATTGGAACGCCTTAATAAAATAGGCCATGCCCCTGCTGGAGAACACGGGCTGGCTTTGCTGGTCTTCACACTCTCGATGGCTTTATTGAGCATGTACTACGTGCCAGCCACTGGTAGCCACCCAGGTGCTGGGATACAATGGGGACCTGTGGAGCTCAGAGTCCGGTGGGGATAGGGAGGCCAGAGATGAACTAACAAATAAGCAAACCAGAAGGTGACCACTTCACTGATGGCGCCGGCACAACGGGGACACTAATGACAGACACGTCATTTTCTCCAGAGTCTGTCTCCAACCCTGACTGGGCACAGTCCTTGCTGTCCATCCTGTCACCATGTGGCGATGTCACCTGCTGCTCTGGGTTTCCCATCGCTTCAGCCCTCGTCTCAGGAGAGCTTTCGGTTCTCAAGCATCCTGCCCAGTTAGAGGCCCGATCTCAGCCTCGAGCCTCCAGGGAGCCACCCTGCACTGGCTCAGAACTCCCGGGGGGGGGGGGGGCAGGATGGTGCACCCCCCCCCTCACTTCCTCCTCCTCCTGACCTCCTGCTTCTGGCCCAGGGTAGATGATTGTCAGAGGTGGGACAAGGGCCTTGGCCTTGGGTGCTGCTGGGTGGCTCTCTCTCGGCCAGCTCGGGATGACCGTGTTCTCCAACCTGGACATGGCATTCAATGTCAGCGCTTCCTTGTGACAACCAGTGGGGGGGGTCTTCCCAGGGGAAAGCAGACAGAGGCCGGTGGCTTCTGCAAGCCAGCCCTCCCAGCCTCGTCCTGCTGAGCCCCTGAGGGTATCGCCCCCCGGCCCCTCCAGGCTGCACCCCTTCTTCAGAGCCCTCCTGACCACAGGAAACTTCGAAACCCTTGTGCTATGGAGGACAGAGGCACCTCTTCCCCAGTTGTCCCCTGAGGCCAGGCCAGCACCTCCCCATCCTCCCAGACTCCTTGGGGGTGTGCAGCTTCCAATCTCTGTCCAAGCCCAGGGACACAGGGCCATGTCACCAAGCTTCACGGTTGCACTGCAGCGTGTCTGCAGCTCAGGGCCCCTGGCTCTGGCTGCCTGCCAGGGGCTGTGACCTGGGAGGGAGGAGGAAATCCAAAGCTCTCTCTGCTCTGCTTACACCAGTCGTGGAATCTCTAGCCTCCTGCGGTGTCTGGGTGGAGGGGGGTCACACTCTCCAGGCCACTTGCCCTCTAGCGCACCTCCAGCCGCTCTTTAGAATATGGGCTACTCCCCAGCTCTTCCCATTGTCCCCAGGCTTGAGCCCAAACCCCGAGACAAGGGACCGTCTCATTTCACCTCCTGTAAGGATCTCGGGGACGCGGTGCTGGGAGGGCAGCCTGCGGGACAGCGCATGCCGTGGGGCTGGGCAGTGAACGTGGGTTTGGATTCAGTGGCCAGGAAGCAACACCAAGCAGACAATGGCCAGGCAGCCACCCAGCCAGGAGGACAGAGCTCTGCAGGCCAGGGAGGGGCACAGCGCAGCCCAAGGCCCCCACCCTCTCCCCAGGCTCAGCAAGACCAGAGCCCAGCGTGTGTGAGTGGGGACGTGAGGGGCAGAGAAGAGGCCCAGACCCCCGGGGCCTTGAGGGCCACCAAGAGGAGCTGGCAGGTGACAGGAGGTTTGAGGCAGAGGAGTGCGTGACCCCCCCCCCCGGTAGCCATCGAGGAGAACACACTGGACGCTGCGCCTAGAGATTCCTCGTCGGAACCCCCCCACCCCCGACCCTTGCAATGACCCTCTGAGTCAAGGCACGTGGGGAAAAGGAGGATGGAGGACAGTCACCCACTCACCCGTCCAAGCAGCAGGGCAGAAATGAAGTCGCAGGACCTCTAGACCCCTGGCCTTGACTTTCCCATGACCGTGCCTGGCTCCCCATGGGAAGGACCCTAACTCCAGGTCAGCGGGCTCCCTGGTCCACTCCCTGATGCCACAGAATATCACGAGTAGCTTATGGTCATCAGAGGTCGTTTCCCGGACGGTCCTGAAGGCTGGGAAGTCCAGAGCGGGAGCCAGCGTCAGCCGAAGGCGCCACGTGGAGGGACAGGTGGAGCCGGCGTGCCACCCAGGTGTCCCCTCCTCATCTTACAGAACCACTCTTGTCCTCGTGGGTCCCCACCCTCCAGGCCTCACCTAACCCAAATCACCCCAAAATCCAGCAACATGTGAATTTGGGGATTACGTTTCTAATACAGGAACCGTTAGGGGACGTTCCCGCTGTAGCTTTGGGGAAGGGGACACTGCTGGCTGTCCCCGGAGCTGGCTAACGCTTCCCATCATGCCAAGCTGAGCTGGGGCAGGACAAGGTCCCTGCAAGTCCCAGAAAAATGACAAAACTGCAGTCCACCCACCACTGCCCAAGAGCCCGGCCTACCCCATGGACCTGGGTGCCCAAGTCCTGGGGACAGCTCATGGGTGTCCCCCAGACATCTGCCAGGACCCACACAACTCTGCTAGGTTTGGAGACAGCCCTTGCTGGGCCTGTCCTGGACCCACCTGCTCCATGACCCCTACCCGGGCGGTACACGGCAAGGCTGGGCTTGTGAGAGCCTGGGGCCACCTGCCCCTGCCCACTCAGGTGCATCCTGAGGGACGTGGGCTGAAGCAGGGAGCCAGAGAGGAGAGGGACTCTGGCTCCCCTGGGCAGACAGACAAGCATGAGAGCCTGTCCCCAAGTCACTCAGAGATGGCCCAGGAGATGGCCGTGCTCCCTGAAGGGTCTCAGGGGGACTTCTGGACCCAGCAACCTCCCAGCGGCCTGTTCAGCACACCGACCTCCCCGTCCCTCATGGTCAACCACCCCAAGGGCTGTGGAGCCAAGTCCCTTCACAGGAATCAGGGCATTTCCATCCTGCAGAGGACTGTGCCTTTGGACCGCCTTCCCCATGTGGCAAGTGGGACACTGAGGCCCGGGGATGTGGATACTCCTAGAACTGTCCACAGTGGACCTCAAGACAAACGTCCACCTCCATCTCTAAGTATGTTTGGGGGTGTTAGGGGCCTCCTTCCTGGCCATGCTCAGAATTTCCTCTGGAGGCCCAGTGAGGGTCCGCTGGGACGCAGACTCAGGAAGAAACCTAACTCATGAGTGTGTGATGAAGGAAGAGGCACCCAGGTCTCACAACTGTCCATTAGGCAACATGGGACGCTGCCCTGCCCCAGACCTGGGCCCTGGCATGATTTCACGGCCACCAGGCCCGGCTGTCCTGCTCAGGTGCCGGCGGAGCATGAATATTCATCCCCACGAGAGGCTGCGCGCACATCCCTGGCAGGACATTCAAGGTCATTCTCAGGATCCATGTCTAGAGTTGGGAGCCGGCGGCAGGCGGGGCCCCAGGCCTCACCGGGGCTCCAACCCCCACCAAGGTCAGGCAGGAACGTGGCCTCCTTGGCTCCTTCCAGCTGAGGCCGGGCCTGGAGGTCGCCTCTGGCCTCTGGCCGCCCTGTGCTCTGGCCAGGCCCCTTCCCCAGCCCACATGGAGCACCTCCATCTGTCACACAGCAGGCCACGCAACCCGACTCCCTGTCCTTCCTCCTCTTCCCGCACCTCACACCCAGGGCTGCTGTCCAGGGAGCACCTGTCCCTCCTGCACCCCAAGGTGCACAGGCCTCCTGCTGCTGGCTGCTCAGACCCCTGGGAAACAGCCCTGACCACACAGGCTGTGGCCGGGCGCCTGGGCAGGTGGCCTGGGTGTTCTGCCAGCGGAGCCCGGGCTGCGGGCTGGACCTCAGGGCCCTCCTGGCTCAGGGCCTATGTCTGGGACAGGGGACAGAGGAACGAGGGCATAAGAGCCCCGGTCAGAGGGCAGAAGGTCCTCCCCTGGGACCTGCTCAGCCCTGGGAGGGCTCGTGGACTTTCAAGCCACACCCTGTCCCCCCCCCCCCGGAGACTGACACCCTGGACGAGTCCTAGAGGAGCAAGGGGGCCACAGGCCGCCTCCAGGGGCAGTGGGGACACCTCCCCCCAGCTGGGACACCTCCCCTTCCACCCCCAGCCAGCGGGCTCCCCTCGGGTGGCTCCGCTGTCAGGACATACGTACTCAGGGTTTCCCTGTCCTCTACTGGTCCCCTTCTCTGTAGGATGTGGTCAGCGTGCAGGCCCATCCCCATGCCCCCCACTGGGCCACCTCCACCCCCACACCCCATACCACACACATGCTCAGATGTAGGAGAGGGACGAAGTCACCAGGCCAGATTCCTGCTAGCCCCAGGCCTCCTGGGAGGGGCCCAGCTCCACCCCACAGCCAGCCCCAGGTAGGACCTGCCCCTCCCAGGGGGTTGGAGCTGAGCAGGACAAGGCAGGCCAGTGCGGGCAGTTGACAAGGCGGGGACACAGAGGCCCCTCTGGTCAAGAGCAGGACGGGGCTTCAGGGGCTGACGGCCTGTCCACCTGGAAAAGCCAGGCACCTGCTCTGGGGCACAGACTTGACCAAGGCAAAGTCCCTCCCCGTCAGAAAACCCAGCCGTGTCCAAGAGACAGGGGACAGGCAGGTCAGTATGCGGTAAGACGCGCTGTGTGGCCCTGGCGGGGCAACTTCCCTCTCTGAGCTTCTATTCCCTCCTCTATAAACAGAGACAGTCCCTCGACTCGGCGAGATGATGGCTGTGAACTTGACTCTACAGGAGAGAGCACCTCCAGCCCTCAGAAGGCTTTGCCCTCTCTACCCGGCACCCTGGGCAGGCGGTTTCCTCACCCATGATGTGGGAGCCATCACTCCCACCTCCCAGGGTGGCAGTGAGGAGGGGAAACAGAGACCTGAGAGCTCCAGCACCCGGCCTGGCACGTAGTGGGTGCACAGGAAACGCTGAGGGTGTTGTGCTGTCCACACCTGTGGCCCCCAGGACCCACAACCCAGGACTGGGCAGTGCTGAGCCATGGCGACTGGCTTTGCCATTCACCACATCAAAGCCTTTGTTAAAACTTGGTTAGGGTCTATTAATTGCACACACTGATGAAGTTCCTTGTGACAGCTCATTACGTGCACACAGCATGCTCTGATCAAATCCAGCCTCTTTTACCCACCCTCCACCCCCAACCAACACGGGCTGCAGTGTCTCTTTGCTCTGCTGATTCCTATTCTATATTTAAGGGTTTTTTCCCCTTGACTTCCACGCATGCCAGAGGACATGTGGTGCTAGTCTTTCTCTCTCTAGTTTATTTCACTTAACATAATGTTCTCCGTCAATTTTGCTGCAGATGACAGAATTTCTTTCTTCTTCATGGCTAAGTAATATTCCACTGTACACACACCACACTCCCTTTACCCATTCATCTGGTGACGGGCACCCAGGCGCGTTGCATGTCTTGGCTGTTGTGAACAGTGCTGCGATGTTCGCGGGCTACAGGTGTCTCTTTGCCCTATTGATGGTACTTCCTGTGGATCTTGACCCAGTAGAGATCCTGGATGTCATGGTAGACTATTTTCGATTGTTGGAGGACCCCTGTCCCTCCCCCTAGTGGCCATGCTAGGTCGCATGCCTGTCAACAGTGTGCGAAGCTTTTACAAAGCAGCTCCAGACCCAAAGAGGAGGCAGAAGAGACGCAGGGACCTTTCCAGATGGCATTTAAAAACAAGCAGCAGCATCATGTCCCTGCGCAGAGGCCAGCGGTCCCCACACAGAGCTGCCTGGCCCACTCTGCCCCACTGTGTCCCACTCTGCCCCACTGAGCAGAGGCCACCGTCTGGAGCTGGCGCTGCCTGGTGCTCAGGGCTTCTCCTCAGGGGTCCCCGGCTCCCCCAGGCCCCTCCTACCCCCACCGGTGACCTGGGACAAGTCCCAATCAGGGCAGAGGTGGCACTGGATCAGCCCAGAGTGGAGCCTGCACCTGCAGGCCAACGATGGTCCTGCGAGGCGACCACAGGCCATGTCCCACCCCCCCCCCTCCTAGGACAGTCCCAACAGGGCAGCTGCACCTCCCCCCAGCCTCTCCCAGGGTCCAGGGCAGGCAGCAGCCTGCCACAAGGAGGAGGCTGGCTGCGGTCCCCACTTGCGTCCCCCCTCAGCGCCTTGGTCCCTGCCCTCCCGCCCACCCCCAGGCCAGGCTCCTCTGACTTGGGAAGCCAAAACCACGCATCAGAATCAAAGGAATCCGTTTCTGCCTCAGGGAGCATGAATGCCAGGGCCTGGGGCTGGGGGACCACCTGACCCCAAATCTAGGGCAGGCGCTGAGTCCCCCTGGGCTGCCAGTGACCCTCCCCTGCCTGTATCCCCTCCCACCAGGGGAGGCCCCTGGGAGCCGCAGGCCTCACCCCGCCCCTGGTGCTGCCTTGCCAGGCTTTTGAGAATCCTTTGAAGAGAAGCAGCCCAGGGGCTCAGGCTGCAGAGCTCTGCCTCCACCCCAGGGAAGCCCTGAGCAGGGGATGGGGACACAGCTGCGCTGAGCAGCCCGGGTCTGTGTTGCAACCTCTCTGGGCTCAGTGTACATCAGTATGCAAGGATGATCGCCAGGGATGTGGGCAGTGATGAAAGACGGGGGCCAGTAAGCCAGAGGGGAGTCCCTTCCTAGGTGACAGACCCGACAGACCTGGGGCAGCTCCAGATCCTCCCAGGCTAGTGCAGGGCAGGGCCACTCAGGAGTGGAAGGAGGCTGACCTGGAGTCAGGCAATGCCTTTACCAGCTGTGTGACCTCAGGCAAGTAGCCTGGCCTCACTGGACCTCAGTGACCTTGTCTGCAAACTGGAACAATGATGCTGATGTCACAGAGCTATAGTGAGGAGTCAGTGGGACAACAACGGATTTAAAAAAAAAAAAAAAAAAATCACCCAGCACAGCCCTAGCGCGCGGTCGGCCTTCCAGCGCCTTCCCCGGCGTGGAATGCGGCAGAGAGGAGGCCTGGGGCTGGGCACAGAAGGTGCATGGAAAAGGCCGTCTCCTGCCCCCTCCTCGGGGGAGAACTGGGAACCCGCCGGTCTCAGAGGGGGGTCCTGCCTCCGGGAGGCTGCGCCGAGGTCCCGCGCTCCGGGAGGAGGAGGCGGGCAGCGCGAGGCTTTGCTGGTGTGGGGCGCCATCTGGTGTCCGGAGAGGGCGAGGCAGGCCCGCGCCCCGTCCGAAGCCGCGGCTCGCGAGCAAGGCCACCACCCGCGCCCCAGCCCCCAGCCGAGGCTCGCTGAGCGCGGTCGCGCAGGAGGGGCACGAGGGGAGGGCGGCACGTGCGGGAGAAGAGAAAGCAGCCAGCTGGGCGGTCGGGGAACACGTCGCTGAGAAGTGACTTCCGTGAGACCCGAAGAAGTCCCCGCGGGTTCTCAGGGCTCTGCAGGACAGCTCTCCAGAAAGAGGAATCCGCCAGTGCGACGGCTAGGAACGCGTCCCTGTCCCCTCAGCGGAGCAGATGACAGCTCCTCACAGCACCTGCATTGCATTGGGGGTCATAGGTCATGCCGAGGTGACCAGTCCAGGGGAGGATGTGCCTAGCCTAACTGCAAATTCCCTGCCATTTCAGACAGGGGCGGAGCGCCAGTGGACTCTGGTGTCCTGGGGTGGTGGGGGGGGGGGGGTCCTGGAACCAGTCCTCTTGAGGACTGAGGGACAGCTCTGTGTGTGTGTGGACTGATAGCTCACTGCGATCCTAGATGTCTGTTGGTGATCACAGCTCCCGGCCAGCAGGTTAAACTGCCAGGAGGCCAACTGGGAACTCCAATTCCATAACTGGTGTGCTGTGTTGCTTTGGCTGTTCACTTCACCTCTCTGGGCTGCTTTCTCTCCCATATATGAATGAAGCCAGAAGACCCATTAAAGCAGATGTCTCAGAGTCCCTTTCAACTCTAAGTCTCTTTGTTATTGTAAATGTCACCTCTTCAGAGAGGCCCGCCCTGACCCCCTTATCCAGTGTAGCCAGGGCCCACGTCAGCAAAGACTTCATAGACCCCTCCCCACTGAAGCCACCTACAGGTGAAGCTGTTCACTGCTGTCTGTTCCCCCCACTGTGAAATCCCAGTTTCTGTCTTGTTCTGGGTTTTCTTTCCAGCCAAGAGAAGTATCTTTGCAAGGACTGTGGGGAAATTCGGAGCTATTGAAGAACATAAGAGGACAACGATCCAAGTTAGTTCTATCAAAGGCTCACTGGGCTGAGTACAGTTGCACACACCCATAATCCCAGCAACCCAGGAGGCTGAGGCAGGAGGATCACAAGCTAGAGGCCAGCCTCAGCAACTTAGCGAGACCCTGTCTCAGAGTAAAACACCAAAAAGGCTGAGGATGGAGCTCAGGGTTAAAGCACCCCAAGTTTAATTCCCAGTACACACACACACACACACACACACACACACACTCATTGGGCTGCAGTGGTGCCGTAGACCCCGGAAGCAGAGAAACCAGTTAGGAGGCCAGGCAAGGGTGCCAGAGCCTCGGACAGGGCAACAGAGGCGCAGCTGGCCAGAGCAAGGAGGGGCTAGACTCTGGGCGTATCCTGAAGGTCACGCCGACAGGATGTCAGGACGGTGATGGCCACATGTGGGGGTGAGAGGGACACATGTGATGAAGTTTGCCAAGTGACATCTGAGCATCCAGGAGGACAGTTCCATTAAATGCCACGGGAGACACGGGGCGGGTTTGCGGGGAGAGTCCCCGGGCTGTTCTACAGATCTGAGCGTCTCGGTGTGGAAACGTCAAGAGGCAGCTGGGGACAGGGTCAGGGCTGAGGGCAGGGCCTGGCGGGAGGGAAAGGATGGCCCTGCGGGCACAGAGAGCACGGAGCCATGCCGCTTGTGGGAATGCCCAGGGAGGAGGGCGGACAGCGCCTGAGCCCGGTGGGCAGAGGGACAGCATGAGGAGCAGCCAGGACAAGGGAGGGGCCAAGCTCCGCCCACGGGGCGCTCCTGGAGCCTGGAGTAGCTGAGGCTGTCCCCAGCCTGCTCTCCTGTGCCAGTGACAGTGAGTCACCCACTAGGAGGACACTAATTGAGCATCTGCTGCATGCATCCGCCTGCCTGATGGCTCAGCCACTGACCTGAACCAGACCCGAGCTCTCCCAGCAGGGCTTTCCACCTGGATGCATTCCTGTCCATTAGGGAGGGGAATGGTGGACCTGGGAAGGTCGACCCAAGTCACACCACAGGCCAGTGTTGGTGCAGAGAGAGCAGCTGTTGGGAGGCAGAGGGTGGGTGGGAGTGAGCATTTACTGAGCACCTGTTATCGACACCCCCACATCCTAAGTGCTCTGCGGTCTGGGTGATGCATGCTATGGTCCTCCCTCCACAGAGGCCCCATGGAGGCTCTGGCACAGGAGACCTCCTGTGTGAGGGCCGGCCTGCAAGGGGGAGCCGGAGTCCAATGAAACCTCCGCCTGGGCCGCCATCGTCCCTCACCCCAGCCCACCCACACCCCCACAGGATCACTGAGAGATGACGTTCAAAACCCCCACCGAATCAGCCTCCCCTGAACAGAAAGGTTATTTTATGACAATGGTATTTATATATACGTGACCAAAACAGATACGCCCAGGGATTCCAGGTGCACCTGCTGTCATGTCCTTAGTGGGGACTAGACCGACTTCTGGGGTTGGTGCATTGATGTCAGATGGGCTGGCTCAGGGCTCCAGGAAAGGCCTCTGGTTCTCTGCCCTCTCGGTTCAGCTCTAGGCAGAGAAGTGAGACGTGTCCAAAGGACAAAGGACAGTGGCTCCCAGCGTAGGGACATGCTTCAGCCACCCAGCAAGGTTTGAGCCAGCCTGAGGGCAGGCAGGTCCCCGTGCTGCCAGATGGGCAGTTGGCACTCCAGAGCAGTACAGCACCACTCCAACCTCAGCCTGGGGCTTGGAAACCAGGCCACCTGCCCTGGGGTGGGGGCGAGGCAGGCCAGATTCAAACCCCTGCCGCATCTGGCGGTTTCCCACTGTCCCCCTTCCTGGGCATTGTGGCCTCTGTCTGCCTCTGTCCCTGGAGTCTTCTTGGGTGCCTCTCTACATCCTGCAGCATCTCTGTTTCCCCATGGGAAAAACAGGCCTTCCAGAGGG